TTCCTAGTCCTACAGAAGTAAAGAGAGCAGATTTCTACATGTGCCAAGAACTTACACACCTGTTTGTTAGGAATACATGGTTTGGTGCATAGACAAAAACTTGAAAATGCAGTTACCCATCTGATCTCTGCCCTTTCTTCTAAAATGGCACAATGGGGTTCCTGCACCGTGCACAGACCCTCGATTATTTCAGAGTTTTACTTGCAGTAAGCCTTAAAGCTCTAACGAAATCATGCATTTATTTGCTGCTTAACTCGAAAGCCATGTAGTCATTACCAGGTCTTCCTCGGGAAAGCCTTAGTTCTGTTTGTCACTGAAATTTCACGTACGGAACTGGTATCGGGGCAGTAGGGTTGGCACGAGCAGGCCTGTCAAGCCGTGCAGGCAGACAGATGGGGCTACGCTGCGTAATACAGAGCAGGATCGAAGAACACAGATTGTATAAGTATTACCGAAGTCATTAAAGGCTGGAACTTTTATGCACGTGGCATTATTTGACAGATAGCTTAAAAATTAAGTTGGAGTACGTGGTCCTCTCTCCTACTACTTCTTTAGTAAACATCATTTTTAAGACCTTTTTCAGGTGTGTTATGCACTTACTCGGGGATGGGAGCTACGGCAAGGTTAGCCCTTCACCACGTGAAGATTTAGCACCCGGTCGGTCATTTGGTCTTTGTGGTTGTATCACATGTAGTTCAGAGGCAGGCCACAGCTAGACAGCAACAAAGCAAATGCTTCAAGGAGACAGCAGTTCAGCTGATTTGCAAAGGGAAGCAAAATACATTTTCCAGCTAGTTTACAAAACTATTGGCTCAAAAGGAAATCTGATGGTAGGGCCTATCCTTGAGTTCATTAGAATTGTGAGCGTCTGCCTCGCTGAGAGACAGAGGCTTTTTTTTTTTTCTTCCACCGTTTGAAAACTGTTTTAATTAAGAGGCATGACCAGACAGGTGTTTGATTGCCACCTCTTCATGCAGACACGAATCTAAATTTTAAAAGAGCTTTAGCAAATAATGCTTCTTTTCGTGTAACTTTTCAGGACAACGTATCTCCCTGTCTTCTGAAAGAAAAAGGCTTTCTTCTGAGGTTTGAGCGTCCTTTGCTTTCATAACTTGGTGATGAATAGGATAGCGATAGGAACTCTGCCCAGTTCCTTTAGAACACTACCTACTTTTATTCACCTAATAGGAGCTCAGAGAACTTCAGCCCTTACTTAAAGACAATAACATGTTTTTCCTCTGACTGCCTTTGTGCATGACAACATTACATTTGTTGGAAAAGTTCAGAGCTGTCAGTGGCTAATGCCAGATACTCTTTACTTCTGACGTAGGTGCCTGGAGTGGGTCAGAATGGACTGTTCAGTTTGATTCTTCTCTTGCAGCAGGTACATCTGGGAAGGTGAAGACTGACTGTCAGCCCTAGTTTTAATGTTCACATAGCTAGTGGGAAAAGCGTGCGGTGACAAATCTGTAACAGGAGACTGACACCAAACTCGGTTAACTTATTGGCATAAGCAGACCAAAAACTCTGGAGTGGGCACACGCAGAAGGTATTGAAAGGAAATGTACAAATAAGGAAGGGGGCAGAGGGTGACGGGTAGGAGAGGATTGTGTGATGGGACATACAGATAGGGGGTAGGTGCTTCGAAATATACTGGCAAGTAGGGCCTTTATGATTGCTACAATTAAAACATTTTGGAACCTGAAAGTTGTTCCTTTTTTAATATTTTTTTTTCATTAAATAGAAGCCTTTTGTCAATTCAGTAAATGGCATTTAAAGAGGCTCTCTGCAGCAGGCCAGACAGACGAGCCTGTTCTTTTGTTTCACTGTGAACATTAAAGTGTATAAACAGAGTTGTAAAGGAGGAGGTTTTGCAATTCTTGGCATTAGAAAGACGTCCTTAAGATGTGCTGGGTTCACCCCCTCACTGCAATGTTCGGATCTGCACTTGGGATGACCCTGGCTAGAATGGGATAAAGCACTGAAATGTTTGCACCCAATCTCTACAAAACTGGGCAAGGAAAACACACATATTATTTGTAGCACATTACAGTAAATAAAAACATTGAACAAGTCCAGACACTCAGCCAGACTCACAACTGAAGAGAATGGTCAGCTGACATTCATTTTTCTTTCCAGTAATTCAGAGAGTACTCACTTTAGCCTTGGACTAGTCTCCCCTACCTTCTAGCAATGACCCAGTACCTAAGGTTGCTAAATATTGCTCGACAAAGTCTCTTGCTGGTCTTCAGCAAACTCAGCCAAAAGCATCGTGTTAGTGACTGAACCGTCAGCCTGGAAACCTTCATCCGTTTGTGAGGGTAGATCTCCAGTTAAGCTCCATTACTACAGGCTGCGTTAAGCACACGCAGTAGCATTCGACGTAAGCTGCACCGGCTGCCACAGAAACCGAACTCCATTTACAGATAATCAACACTGAGATGTCAGGAAAAAGGCACGTTCTTCTCCTGGTAGATTCATTGTTTATGAAATCTAGAACGCAGTGTAGATTAAACTTCTTTTTATCCCCTAGAGTTACTCATCAAAACCATTTTGTTCTTTTACAGTAAACAACCTACAGTGTGTTAATTTGCTGGAGAACATGGGAAAATCAAAGCAATTTTCATACAACATGAGACCAGCCGCTGCTGCAAAACCGAAAAATACAAGACTCAAGCACTAAGCAAAACTGAATGTTTGGAATTTAAAAAGCACATTGCAGTACAACTGTTATCTTTCATAATGTACAAGTCATCTATAACATACTGAACACATTTTCAATTTTGTATTATCTCAGCATTACATGCCAAGCACACTTCTAAGGCCTTGGACTCATCTTATTTTGTGTACAAATGAGTTTTTAAATGCAACTGTTAATTTACTTACTGACAGGATGAAATCTGAATTGCATTTGGAAACAGAAAATGAAGCAGTAAGCCCAGCATTACAATAGAGTTGCAGGGGCTCCAAAAGTCTTCCCTTGTCAACAGTAGGAATGTTGAATGCGTTCATCAAACGCCGTTTCAAAGGAGAGGGACACTGTACTAAGATGTAACAGTTCTAAAAGACTGCTGTTCAATTTCACCTCAAATTTATTAAACATATTTCAAAATCTAAACAGGAACAGAAGAACAGCCTTCATGCTCCGCTTCTGTGCTAAAGAAACAATTGTTTCTTAGCTAGCTATGGATTTAAAGGAAAAGTAGAGACGTTGACAAAAAAACACTCAGTAAATAAATCGCTTTCCACAGCCCATGGAAATTGTTAGAGATGTGTTTTCTACCCTTTTAAGATTATCACCGATTTTTTCCATATTAATAACTATTTTTATACATGCACAAAAAGAGTTTCTACAGAAAGCACGAAGAGATGGCACCTCTTCTAGAAGAAAACTTGTTCTTTTAATAGCTTTGGAGCTGCCAGCATACAGTATTTACCTTGCACAGAGTATTTAAAAATATGAACTCGGCAAAAATAAAAATGTTACTCTACTTTCAAAGTATACTGTTTTCTATTTTTTCTTCTAGTGGGTATTACAGAATTCTAATTTTTTTAATCAATACGATGCTTCGAAATAGTAGATGATTGGAGTCAATATAAGTCTGTTTCTCTGCAAGCACTTCAGCTTCAAGGAGACTGGATTTTCTTTAACACCCCTCACTGCGGTCACCACATCCACTAAACCAACTTCCAGTAACGTCTACTTGCTTGAGAAGAAAGGCAATAGAGGTATGCAGTTCTTTGTAAAATTTTTATTCTGTTTCACTTACAAAAAAATGGACAAGCTTTGTTCCAACATCTTCCATTCAAAACTAAATAGAAGTAAATGCTTTACAATAAATGCAGTTCGACCTCTTTAATATACGGCGTTTACAGGGCCAGGTCCCTGGGGATGAGAGGCAAGGTAGATGTTGAAACAGTAATGGAGGTCTGTTAGCCACTGCTCTTGAACTTCACCACTCTTCAGTGTCTAGAAAGAAGGGGAAGAAAGGTAAAACTCAGTTTCGCCAACAGCACTTGCAAAGCTTCGCTTTGTTTTTACAGTTAATCGGGTGCGCTGTTAAAGGTACAACACGGCCTTGTTCACCTGCACACAGTGACGTTATTCTTCTCATTTATACACTGCAACCTGGTATGTCTGTTCAAGCCGAAACAATAAAGTGTTACTACTTGGTACACTAAGTCGGCGTTACATTATCAAGTGTGTGAATTACCCCAGATGTGATTTCCTTACTCATAATTACTTGCTTGCTTACTTGCCAATTCTGCAATTTATAGTCAATTAAAATGCAAACGCGCGTGGTTCTACCGAAGCAGGAGAGCTCAATACCCCAGTCTACAGGAGAACTGCTACCAACAGACCAACACAGCCCACGGTTCCGTAATTCACTCTCCTTAGCATTCACAAGCGGTTAAAAAAACCCAACAACAAAAAACACAACCCACCCACAGGGGAACATCACAAAAACCGGCTGAGGCATTTTCAACACCAAAGGAAACCAACCACCTCATTCTCTGTTAGAGAACTTGCGCGATACTCTCTTACATCTGCTTTTGCCACCACTGAGGTTATGTTTCTGGTAACAGGCCTTTTGAAAGCTACTGATGGATACGTGTGGCTTGCTTATTCAAACCTGCGGGACGTACAAACTCTCTGCACTCCAAACTAGTAAGAGCTTTGTGCGAAGGCAGTTTCAGATTTTTTTTCGGAAGAGAGAAGCAACTGTAATGGTCTCAAAACCACTGGAACGTAGACGCGTGAATAGAAGCGCTGGGTTTTGCAATATTTGAAAGAGAATATATTTTGCACCGTACATATTTAAGAGAGTTTGTCTGATTTAATAACATCTTCGCACACCTATATAGCCCTGCTCCAGTAAACAGAAAAGACTACTTTCTTATTTTGGGACAGCTCTCCCTCAGACAGGCTGTGTAGGTAATCCACTTCCAGGGCATTTTGTTAGGAAGCCAACTGTTGTCCAGGGCCGCTGGATTGGGTGCGAGCTAAACTTCAAAACTGTCTCATCTGTGCAGTGACCACAGGAGCTCGGGCACGCAGCAGCCCTCTGCACAGCCTGGACTTCCAAGACAAATAAAAGACAATCATAACTTGTGTTTTGCTAGAACAAGTTTGTTCTTCGGGGTTTGCAACAATTTTTAAACATAAACCTGAAGCACATATCCTTGTAGTCTCTGGGAAACAACAAGAAGCTTCATACCATGATGTCCTTGATAATCTGTTGCACCAGAAATTCATTTGTGATCATATGGCTCCTGAGCTGACCATGTTGCATTAGTAAGCGAAGCAACTGAGCAACGACGGGCAGTTCTTCCCGACAGATCCTGCTCACTTGCAGACTTTGCAGCATCAGTCTCAGTAATCGTGGCAGGAGTGCTAATGCAGAAATACACGATCCCCACAGCATATCCCTGAGAGGAAAAAGAGAACAAAAATTGAAATGACCGAGGACACGTATTTCAAGTGTGCTGCTGTGAACTAGCCTCATAGCTGTACAAGGAAACATGCCTCCGAATTCAATCATGCCAACTGCCTTCACCATAATTAGTGGCAAAGCAGAAAATGTACCAGAAAACGCTAAACTTGTTCTAAGATTATGTACCGCACTGGAAAAAATTTAAGGTCCTGCCCTGGAGCTACAAATGTTGCTGAAGCTCTTACACAGTATAATTTCTGCTTGATGCAGCTGGGAAGAGGTTTTTGTTTCAATCATTGTTCAGGTCCACCTGAATCTTAATTTTAAAGACTCGTAAGAAATCAAACAATGGAATCAGCTTGTTGTGATATGCAAGTCATTAAATACAGTAAGTGGAGGACAACTCCGGCTTTAAAAACACGTCTTAGATTTTAAGCAAGCTTTGAACACCTTTCCTGTGTATGGAACAGTTTGAGGAAAAATCTGAAGTTTAAACTATTTAAAGACATTTCTGTTATACAGGTAAATAAGCTTATTTAAATCTGGTATCTGTAGCTTTTGGTTTTTTAAATCAAATGGATTTTCAGTCTATAAAATGATGCCTGAGAAGTTTTGTTAAAGCTGAAATATCAAGTCAGTTAAGAGTACAAGCTCATAAAGCCAAATCCTTTGCGTGTTGCTTTTCAATGTATCTAATGAAACTAAAGGCTAAAGCTAAAGATTAAGGTATAAATATCCACCTTTCTAAAATCAGGATGGGTCTGACATCTAACTAGAACAATTTGAGATGAAACCTTCTTCAGTTACCGTTTTAAATAATTCCAGCTAACTTTGCAGCTGTTTTTCTTAAATCCAAGTACTGTTTTGAAGTAAGCAAAAGACAGACAGCAAAATAAATTGGGGGGTATCCTTTCATTTCACATCTCTAAATACTCGTGGGTATAAAGGCAGAGACAATTAACACGGTAAGAAAAGCAGCATTACCTTTTCTGTACATGTTCTGCATCCTCTTTGTCTAAAGTTAGCAGAAAGTACAGAAGACTGTAACAACAAGAGGCTAAGAACTTGTTCAAGTTTTCACTTAGGATGCAAGCTTGATCCAAGAGCTTATTTATGGCACATAGAACAGATCCAGCTGTGCTATCGGGTATTACAACCAATCCGACCTGTATTAAAACAAAAAACCCCAAGTTCATCACTTCATACACAAGTTTTTTTGCTGGTATACCAGCACGTCTAGAGCTGAATGAATCTCTTCCGTATCATGACATATATTACTTTGTTTCTGTTCAAGTTCTACATGCTACTGCATTTTTTTCAAATCCCTGTTTTCCTAAGAAATTGCCACCCGTACCGGTGGCAAGGTTAAACCGGCATCTCCATTCCATCCCCTCTAAATAAACACTCATCTCAAACGTATTTAAAAAAAACCCCACTGCTCTGAGCCTTGCTCTGAAAGATGGTACAGGCACAAACAGAATCCTTTGGACAGAACAGGTCTTTCCTTTTAAGCATGTATCATGGGACAGAGCGGCCCTTCCGTGTCCTGTAAACGGCAGTGAGCAGTCACTGAGGTAGAAGGAAGCTCGGATTTACTCTCCAGAAGGAAAAGCTTCTACTGGATCATCACCGGGGTGAGTCTCCTTAGAAATCCGACAGGCTCGCCAGGAATGAGGGCATTATGAGCCGAGTCAAATTAAAGCTAATGAAACATACGGTGGGCCCACAGCTGGGGTGATACTCTTCTGTTGTTAAAATGACATCATCATCTTGAGTAAGGATTTTATAGGCATGGTAAATAATTTAGAAAAAAGTCCTTTTTGGGTAGAGGCAGTGAATTAGAATGCAGTTTAAATTTTGAAGTGCTACTGAGTAGCTATCCTAGATTTTTGTCCTGTAAAGCCATAAAAAAACCATGCATTGCTAATGTGGCACCATTTGTCTTATTAAAAAACTAATTTAAGGAGTTTCAGAGTAGCCTAATTTGCTCACCTGCAAGTACATTGTTTTAAGCTGACAGAGTCAATTGGTTCACTTAACAAGGTCAGCTGTTTCTTTTAGAAATGTTTAGAAAAAGATCAATAAAGTACAAGCTGCAGAAATGTGGAATGTATTTCATTGGTATGATTACTCATGAGAGGTAAAAGATAAAGAACAATGACGGGTTCGAACTTCTAAATAAGACACTAGGTGTATTTCAAGGCCACGAGCACAGATCACTGTCCCAAGCTGACCCTGCACCAGCCAGTTGCACAGGTAGGAGAAGGACGGCGTTCCTGCGTGACAAGATGGACTGCAACTGTCACCGAGACCCTGCTGAATACTACAGGACATTGAGGCACTAAATAATAAAAACTAATGATGATGGAACAGGTTGCCCAGAGAAGTGGATGCCCCCTCCCTGGAAGTGTTCAAGGCCAGGTTGGATGAGGCTTTGAGCAACCTGATCTAGTGGAAGGTGTCCCTGCCCACGGCAGGGGGGTTGGACTAGATGATCTTTAGAGGTCCCTTCCAACCCAAACCATTCTATGATTCTATGTTTCTGACCAACCACAAATAGGAAATAACGATAGTGAGCTAGGCAGGTGTCTGCACACAAAGAAGCATCCTGAAGATCAAATTAGCCAACGCTGCTGATGAAACGTGCCAGTCGGCCCGTCTGGAAGATGATGTGAACACAAACATCTCAATTTATACAGATCCAGTAGATGAGACTGTTCAAATAAGTTCCCATATAGGATGTTACCTACACGGTGCCCTTCTTCCCCGTTCGGTATCATTGTCCAGTTAGAGATCTTGGGCAACGGTCTAATCAACTATAAAAATCCACTTAACTGTTTGCTCTCAAAGAGACAACGTAGTAGAACGCATAAGCCGATTTAGAAGTTGTGATTTAAGTCGAACACCTACCCCCAAAAATCCAGACTACAGTTATAGGTAAGCCACTTCCTATGGAAGCTTTGGTCAAGTAATTTTTCAGTAGGCCTCCATACAGGGAACTGCGGATACTTGTTAGATCGCAGAACCATCTCGAGAGGAGGACAGACAGGTCCTCCCTCTCTGCAGGCAGCATCACAGGTAACTGCAAGTTCTGTCCCCTACAATTCTGTTACCCAGCTCTGGCTTTGCCATCCCCAGCTCAGGGCGCGTTCAGGATTAGAAGGAGAAGACAGACTGTAACACTCATCTAGAGCTGCTCGTCACGCCTTTGAAAAGCGAACCAAACCAAAACAAGAAACCTTTCATTTACGGCTGTCCTGGCTTGAAAACAAGCTGAACTAGTCACAAATCAGAGCAAAAAAAAATCCATGTAAGTTTGGATACCAACAGTTATTAGATTTTTTTTTTTTTTTTTTTGAAACGCCGCTAACTGTGTTGAAAATTTTTGCAAATGTTGAAATTACAGATGAAATATATGGAGTAAGTGGATTTGAGGGTTAATGAGACCATTACAAAATTTATCACAAGGAAGCTAACAGAGCAGACAAAATGGCACTTACCAGATATTTACAGATGCCGGTCTGGAGAATGTCAAAACACTGACTTTGTGAAGGTATAGTGGACAAGCTGTGACAGATCATCTGTTTAAATAAAACAAAGTTATATTTGAGTACTCTAATGCAACCAGCAACCATTCACTGTGTAGCCATACTTTGCTGACAGACCTAAATACGAAGTACCTACAGGGACACATAGCAGCTTTGTCTCAAAAGTATTGATTCTTTACAGTGTGTAAGAGTAACACTGTCGACATAAATTGTTCAGTGTTTGAAGAGATGACGGCCTACACCATTAGGTTTTTTGGTAGTGGCTTTCTTCATTTTACCTATGTGATAGAAGTAGAAGGCCAAAAATATTCTATCCAGCTACAAGGCCACACCAAGCCTCCACGTGCCTTTCCTCAGAGCTGAAGAATTTCAGAAAACAACTTCCCAACTAACTTTAATCAAGCATGAAACAGAAGAATCACAATCAAACAGGACAGAAAAATAACAAAAGAAGAAAGTAGCAGAGATCCATTTCCAACTTATTTTCCTGTACACCACCAAAAACGTCATGTTCAAAGATGAGACGAAATGTAATAGTACAAAGCAAAATCTTGCTTTATGAACAGCCAAACATTTTCTGGTGCTTATATAATCAGGCACCAGCAAACTGTATTAGCTGCCCAGAGGCATGACAGAAAGAGGTTTAAAAAAAAAAAAAAAAAAAAGACGACCACCAGTGAACTGAAGACTCAGATCTTCAGTTTTTAGTAAAAAACATATAAGTGAGACTGGCCAGGTTGGGGAGGGGGGGGAAGAAGGAAAAAAAAAAGTTGACCAAGACCCCATGAAATGCTGTATGGCTCCTGGATAGGCTGAAGAAACCAGAGCTCTAGTAGGTCTGCTAGTAAGCTGTACTGCAATCCTCGGCGGATGGCTCGCTCCGTTCCTCTTTTCCTTCCTGTCTATTCCAGTAATTTGCAAACTAGTCAGAGAGCTTGGATGACCTCTCTCTGTTTACATTCGTTGCTTATCCCACCAGTGTCAACTGAAGCCTCCAGAAAGCAACATGTGCAGCGTAAGTGTGTTATTAGACCATTAGCAGGCATGGCGTCCTGCTACGGACAAGGAAGACTGAAGAACCCATACATGAGGAATGAAATCTTCTGTTTGTGCTTAAGGGAATCGGAAAGAGAGCAGCAATATCAGGCTTTTGAGGGAGGGAAGAATTTAAGTCCCCAAGTTTTACAAAGAGCTCGACTAAGCAAAAAATCATTCCTCTAAGATACCTTGCTGACTGAAGAAACAGCTAAAGAAAACTTTCACAGAATGATCTGACTTGAGGGATTAAGTTCTGTGATAGTGTCCTGGTTTTGAGACTTAAGTTGAATCAGGGCAGGTCAAGACACCCAAACAAGAGATAATGACAAAATAGAAAACATCACCCATGTTGTGTTAAAAATAATAGCCCACAACATTTCCAGCTGAAGAGAGACCCCAAGGAAAGGAAAGGTTAGGAAAAGAACCGTTAGCTCAACGTCCTGTGGCATGAAAACTCAATCCCAAGTAACGTGGATGCCAGTGGTGGTTTAATCAGAAATGGCCAAAGCAGTATCATTTGTGGTGATATAAAAGTGCGCTCAGCTTTTTTCACAATTACATGCCACCCATGCTTTTAGCCCTGCTTAAGCTGGCCAAATTCAGGAGATCCTTAACATATCTGCTTGACAGAACATAATACTGTCAGGACATTGCTCACATTAATCAGTATTACAGCTGTAATTGTGCAAGTATTTTGGTTGACTAGTAGGACTACTTAAAAGACAGTTTTGTAGATGCTCTTGCACTGAATATTTTGTATTTTTGATACTATACATTTATTTAATAATGAAATAACATTATTAAAACGGTGTACTCCATCCTAGATATGGTAGTGCTTCTGTACACTGCAATTTGAAAGTGACAAAATATGAAGTACTCTGGAATATTCCCAAGAAGCGCACTCAAAACATTTGCGTATTAGCAGCGTCAAGGAATAAAGTCAAGCTGAGACAGAGGTTACCACTGGGGATTGTCATGCCAAGGACAAACTCTGAAGCCCATCTGACCTAGTATTTTAATGAGTAACACTTACATAAAAGGTAAAGCTACATTGACAAAATCTGTCGGCTGACAGCTCAAAGTTGAAAAACACTGCCACGACAGGAGGACTGGACTAACCTATAGAAAAGATCGCAGGGGTTTGACGAGCAACAGATACAGAAAAAATTCAAGTGAAACAAAAGTGGCGGGTCATGCGCTTGAAGACCAATGAAAACTTCTGCATGCAGCTAGGAGTTTAAACAGTTGGAAATGAGGAGAAAATTCTGTGTGTAACAACTGACCACAAGGTGCTTGTGATGCAACCATGAAACGGGCAAATGTCACTTTAGGATAGAAAAAACAAAGATAATCACAATAGAAGCGATCAGACAGAGTACTGATCGTCTGTTCAACACTACTCCGTAAGACCCTACTTAGACTATTTCCGACATACTGTGCAAAATAGGAGTCACTCGTTTTCAAGAAAGGTAAATTCAAACTGAACGGGCATAGAAAAATTGCGCCAATAGAGATCCCATCTCACAGGTGTCAACGGAAAGAACTTAACCTGCCTAGGCTGGCAAAACTATGTCCGAGAAGGGGTATTACGGTCACTTACACCTACAGCAGAGGTGCAAACCACTGCAGGAAAACAAATACAACCAAACAGCAACAAAAAATAATGATGATCATAGCTGGCTGGGAACGCAGATGAGATGGATGTGAGGAAGGATGATTATGAAAGGGGAAATGCAGGAGACATTTGTTGCTCACAAGACAGAGCTCAGGAAGTTTACAAATGGGGTATGCCATACGCTTGTGAGCACATGACACTAGACACAGTAAGCTAGGGAGATCCCTTCTAATTTAATACATACCCACGTGAGGTCAACAAATTAAAGACCTTGAAGGCAAATCCACCAGGCCCACCCAGCAAGCTAAGGTTTCATTATTAATAAAACCATTATTAATATTTCACCCTTAGGACTACATCCCTAGAACAGGCCTACCAGTCCACTGAGGTTCTCCCCGAGATGGCAAGTTGCTGGAGCATTTCATAACAGCTACGATTCACGGACACTTGGGCATCATACCACTGAAGAGCAGCATACTCGCTTAGAAGGGTGGTGGTAAAGCGCATTGGCAAGTTCGTTTTTCAACCTTTTAGATCCTTCTGACCCTCAAAATAGCACCACCATTCCCTACATCCAGGTCTATTTTTCTACGATTAAGTGGGAGTGGCAATCCTTTTCAATTCCATAAATTAAATCCTGCTTGAAATGGCTTTCATAAATGCCTGTTATAAAAAGTGAAACTGAAACGTTATTAGACATGGAAATGAAAAGCAAAGCAAACTTAATTATCACATGAAAATTAGTATTTTTCCTGACAATTTATTTTCCTTAGGCAAGGGTTTGCATGATGTTTAATTTCCATAATAAAATGTCACAGCTGATTCATTATTTTACATTTGATTAGCATTTATCACATTTTTGGTGCATTCATAGACTGGCTTTGGACTAAAGCCAGAGTGCTTTTGTTTCAGAGTATTACTGAAGTGAACGGACAGAGAACGAGCATTTCTGACCGTACGGGGGTTTTATACCTTTTTGAGACAAGTATTTTGTAGCAGGTTTGGTTTAGGTTTAGAGTTTTGGGGGTTTGGGGCTTTTTCTTTTTAATTTCATTTGAATATCCACTTGAGTAAATTAAGCCAAAGAAAAGCATTCTCTTAAATAGGGGGATTAACTGTTAGCATTATGCAGCAAATACTACAGGCTTCATAATCCATTGGCAGCTTTTCAAACCAAACCTTATTGATCAGACAAGCCCAACCACCCCTCATACTAATGAGCCACACGACTACAACAGCAGGTTCCCTGCTAGCGCTTCGGGAAATCGTTACCACACAGGCCTCCTTGCCTGCCATACTGAAGACGTACTGCAGCAGTAGCCGGCTAAAATGGAGGTGGGGGGGGGAAAGGCTGGGAAGGCAGCCCAGGAGCACTCCCTGGGCTTTCTGGAGATCCTGCCTCCATGGAGTATTTTACTGTAGTCTTCAACTGGATGAGTTAAAAGCATTTTTGCTGCTGACAGCCAACCTGACTGACTCTTAATCCAATCTGAAAGAGGCTTTTCATAGCTCGGATGTACAATCAGAGGAATCCATCAGTTTAATATTGCTTATCTGTAAGATGCTCTCCACCCCAAAAGGCAGAGTTGGGAGGAACGGAGGAAGCCCAGTCTCAGTCTGAGCCCTCGTGGCAACAGGAACACGCACAAATGATGAACTGAGAGAAATGTTTTGTTCATCATTTAACTGTTCCCACTCCCTAAACCACTCAATGCTTCCCATAACGTGATAGATTCCTGACTCAAAAAGCCTCAAGGGAAATATTTCATCAGGAACTCTCCAGGGGAAATCTGCATATAATTTCAAGCTTAATCATGCTGCGAAGTACTCTCTTTTTCAAAGAAAAATACTTGCCTTCCTCTGAAGACATGCACAAGCGTGAGCACAGAGAGGAACCAAGCAAGCAGAAAAAATAATGGATCAAGTATTTTAGCGAGCCACTGTGTAGAGTCAGAGCAAAGACAGTTCAGACCCCAAGAGAAGTGATTTTATTAAAAAAGAAAGTTGGCACACACCAGACACTACATCCTAATGTGAACTTTAAAATATATTTTTCAATTCACATCGACATCCACCTCAAACATGGGTAACTAAAATGTAACAGGCTGTACTGCAGTCAATTCCCAAGCCCTTGTGAAATGACTGTTTCGAGCGGGACTCTATCCAGTATAACATGCTACTGCAGAGCGTAGAAAACGAGAAGTTTTCAGGTGATGGGGCAGGCAATGAAGCTTGTCGTCTGAAGCTTGGCCAGCTTCCCCCGAAGCACCCTAGCTTATCAGGCAGTGTACTCCCTTGACAGGTGCTGCTTCTCTTTCTGAAATAAATTGATTTGACAGGGCAATATTAACAGTGCCCTGAGTTGTTGAGAAAGCTGCGT